ACTCTGCTGCTGCTGCTGCTGCTGCTGCTAGTGATTGCGTAGATATATGTAGCAACAGCAGCAGCAGTGGCTGTCTTCCTGCTGCTGCTTTTGCTGCTGCTGCTGCTTTTGCTGCTGCTGCTGCCGCTGCTGGTAGTCCTAGTCTAGTACTTAGGATTGGGTGTATGTACACCCCAACTATAATATCTAAAAGGAGGCATTTTGCCTTCTGTCTAACGGTATACAAAAAGAAACTGCAGCAGCAGCAGCAGCTGCTGCTGCTGCTGCTGCTGCTGTAGACGTTGCGGCAGCGGGTAGCACTGCCTATAGCGCTGCAGCTGCTGCAGCAACAACAGATAAGGCAGCAACTTCTGCAGCAATAAACAAAGCAGCAACTGCTGCAGCAACGGAAACAGCAGCAGATACTGCAGCAGCAGCTGCAGCAACAGCAGCAAATGCTGCAGCAGATAGATAGACAAGCAATCGGAGGAGGAGCAGCAGCAGAATAAATCCGCTCGCCTATATACATCCGCCAGCAGCAGCAATTGCAGCAGCAACTGCAGCAACTGCAGCAGTAACTGCAGCAACTGCAGCAGCAACTGCAGCAAAAGGGAAAACAACAAAGACTGCAGCAAAAGCAGCCGGCGTTTGCATGTCATGCATCAAGGGAAGAGGAATCGTGCTGCTGCTGTTGCTGCAGCAGTTGCTGCTGCAGCTGTTTTAGTAGCTGCTGCTGTTGCTGCTGCTGCTGTTGCAGCAGCAACAGCAAAAAGCTGCTGGTGCAGCAGACACAGCAGCAGATGCCATGGCCTCATGTCTGGCCATAAGACAGGAATAAAATAAAAGAAACAACCCTCAGATACCTGCACATACACCCCACACACTAGCAGCAGCTGCTGCTGCTGTTGCTGCTGCTGCAGATGCTGCTGTTGCTGCTGCTGCAGATGCTACTTTCTATATACTATCTATATATATCTATCTCCCCTTCTCTTGTATCTATCTAGCGTGCTACCATCTCCTCTTCCTCCTCCTCCTATTGCTGCTGCTGCTGTTGCTACTGCTACTGCTGCTGCTGCTGCTGCTGCTGCTGCTGCTGCTGCTGCAGTACCTCGCATAGTAAGAAGTCCGATAGCCTCGCCTCTCCCGACGTGCGAATTAAAATTTCGGGCGACGGAAATTCGCCGGCCTGTAAATCCTTATAAAATGAGGAGCGTAACGAGCTGCAGCAGCAGCAGCAGCAGCAGCAGCAGCAGCAGCAACAGCAGCAACAGCAGCAACAGCAGCAGGTAATGTAACAGCACGTACTGTAAAAGGTAATGGAGCAGCAGCAGCAACAACTGTAGTAGTAGAAGCAACACATGAGCTACCAGCAGCAACAGCAGCAGCAAATGTGACAGCAGCAGCAGCTGCAAGCTGAACCCACAGCAGCAGCAGCAGCAGCAGCAGCAGCAGCAAGTGTAGCAGCAGCAGCAGCACGTACTTGTATATTTGTTTAGATTTGTCTTTTGTATCTATCTGACCAAAACGCAGCTGCTGACAAAACTCCTCCTCTGCATGCAACTGAAGGTTTGCTGTTGCTGCTGCTTCTGCTGCTGCTGCTGCATCTGCTGCTGCTGCTTCTGGTACTGCTGCTTCTACTGCTTCTGCTGCTGCTGCTGCTGTTGCTTCCCGCGGTGTATCCAATGGTGACGCAGAAGCAGACACCTCAGACTCTGGGGTGTATCTGCTGCTGTCTTGTTCACGAGACCCTAAAAGCTGCTGCTGCTGCTGCTGCTGCTGCTGCTGCTGCTGCTGCTGCTCTTCCTGCTGCTGTTGTTGTTGTTCCTGCTGCTGCTGCCCTTCCTGCTGCTGTTGTTGTTGTTCCTGCTGCTGCTGCTGCTGCTGCTGCTGCTGCTTGGGTGAGAGTATCCTAGCAACTTCATGTCTTCCTCCATAGGAGACACAAATCCTTAGCAGCAATCTTTTATTATTTTTTGTTTGTGCTGCTGCTGCTGCTGCTGCTGCTGCTAAATCAGACCCAACAAAAGATAAATCACCAACTACAACCAGACGAATTCCTTCCGACATCAAGAAACCCCTGCATACACACTAAACCCTAAACCCTAAACCCTAAACCCTAAACCCTAGAAAATCATAAACCCTAAACCCTAAACCCTAAACCCTAAACATAAACCATAGACCAATGAATACAAACCCGAAGAATAAACTACATACGTTTCACAGCTCTACACCGAAGGTAAGAACATAAACCCTAAACCCTAAACCCTAAACCCTAAACCCTAAACCCTAAACCCTAAACCCTAAACCCTAAACCCCTAGACCACTTACTGTATCCATTTAGGGTCCTTAAATAGTGTTTCTGCAAGATGAAGAAGAAAAGAAATTTCTTCTTTTTTTCTATAAAAATTATTTAATGCAAATGCATAAACAGATAAAACCCTCACACCTACTGCAGCACACGCTTTAGCTACCTGTATACATACAAACCCTAAACCCTAAACCCTAAACCCTAAACCCTAAACCCTAAAATATCCAAAAAAAAACTCTAAACCCTAAAGTAGCCAAACAACGACAGAAAAAAAAAAGAAAAATAATTGTATCTGTCTCTCTACAGCAGCAGCAGCAGCAACAACAACAACAACAGCAGCAGCAGCAGGAGGAGGAGGAGGAATATAATTACTTGTTTTAGTGTATTTGCTCCTCTTTTATGTCCCCTAAAAGGAGACTGTCTCCTTAATAATGATGATCGTCTATTGCCATCCATTATAACAGCAACATGTGTTGGTGCAGCAGCAGCAGATAATAACCAACATAATACACGTTCCCAGCTGCATGCAAATTGCAGCAACAGCAGCAACAGCAGCAGCAGCAGCAGCAGCAGCAGCAAGAAGGAGAAGAAGAGATATTAAATTGCCGCATGTAGCCGCATACGCGGCAGCAGCAAGTTCTGCTGCAGCAGAGCAAAGACACCATTCAAATTGTGAGCAAAGGGAGACAGCAGCAGCAGCAGCAGCAGCAGCAAGACTCAGCAGCAGCAGCAGCAGCAGCAGCAGCAGCAACAGCAGCAGCAGCAGCAGCAGCAGCAGATAATGTCATACACGGTTAGCATTTTGATAGAAGTGGAAGGATACAAAAAAAGCAATTTTCAACTTTAGTTGCTGCTGCTGCTGTTGCTGCTGCTGCTGCTGCTGCTGCTGCTGCTGCTGTTGCTGCTCCTGTTTACGTTGCTGCTGTTGTCGCTGGTGCTGCTGCTGTTGCTGTTGTTGCTGCTGCTGCTATACAGACGCAACAGCTGCCCGATATATGCTGCCTTCAACAGCTTTTTTGCTGTTCCTGCTGTCGCTGCTGCTCCTGCTGCTCCTGCTGCTGCTGCACTTGCTGCTGCTGCTGCTGCTGCTGTGGAGGAGAGAGTTAAGACCTTCTAGGGTCCCCATATGCTCCTTGTTATTATTGAGGTGTACAGGCAGCTGAAATACTAGACCCTAAACCCTAAACCCTAGGGTTTAGATGGTATACTGCAGACCCTAAACCCTAAACCCTAAACCCTACAGAAAAACCCTAATCAATGAAGAAGAAACCTAAACCCTCGACTAGGTGTTAAATTGTTAATAGAAGCTCATTTGTGCTCCTAGTATTAAGAACCTTAATACGAAACCCTAAACCCTAAACCCTAAACCCTAAACCCTCAGGTTCAAATCGTAAACCCTAGGCACTCGACAGGAGCGGGAACACCGCGTCCTTCAATTGTAACCTTTAACTATAAACCCCTACCTAAACCCCTTTATTATTAAACCCTAAACCCTAAACCCTAATTCCTAAACCCTAAACCCTAAACTCTTGAAGTCGGTACCGGGGCTCGCTGCTGCCGACGGGTTGTGGGCACAGCAGCAGCCGCGGTTGCTCTCGAGGGTTTAGGGTTTAGGGTTTAAGGGTCCAATGCTATATATAAAGATATTTTAAGGGTTTATTATTTCTTTTTTCTTTTATTCTCTCTTAAACCCCCCATATTATCTCTTTTTGCTGCTCCTCTTATAGGAGAGGGGGGCCCCCCGAGCACATGGGGGGCCCCCCTCGGTTCCTCCTTAGCATTCCCCATCAAACCCTCCTCTGTGGTGTACGTACATCTCAGCAGTATATTCGAAAATAATGATGGGGGCCCCACTTAGAGCTCTGGGGGGCCCCATGGGGGCCCACCTCAGGGGTCTGGGGGGCCCCACGGGGGCCCCCAGCACCACATTTTCGTTTCAAGGGTCGTCTAGATATATTAAAGGGAAACCTGGGGCCCCCAGAGGGTTCCTATTAGGGCCCGGGGGCCCCTTCGGCTTTAATGTGGAGGTGTACCCTGGGGGGCCCCCTCCTAAGTACTACCCCTACCGGCAATCCTTGGGGGCCCCCCAGGGGCCCCCAAAGAAGGGCTTTGAGGGCTCGCCCAGCAGCAGCCACATTTCAGCAAAACCAGAGGTCCCCCTACAGGCCCCTGCAGCAACAGCAGCAGCAGCAGCAAATGAGCCGCTGGGCTCTTGCTATATAGGTTTGCTGCAGCAGCAGCAAACCCTGCAGCAGCAAATGGTACAGCAGCAGCGACGCTGTTGCTGCTCTGTTGCTGCTGCTATGGAGACAGCAGAACCCACAGCGGCACTAATTCCTGCTGCAGCAGATGCTGCTGCTGCAGTTGCTGCTGCTGCAGCTAAAATAGCAGCAGCAGCAGCAGCAGTAAGAGCTGTGCACAGTCCAAGGCTACCGCTGCTGCAGTCACTCTTTCGATGGGGGGGCCTTACTGCTGTAACCGTACCCAGCAGCAGCAGCAGCATGAGTAACAGCAGCAGAAGCACGAGTAGCAGCAGCAGCGGTGTAGGTTCCCTTTTGGGCGCATGCACCGATGGTGGCCCTGCTGCAAGTGCTGCAGCTGCAGCAGCTGCAGCAGCAGCTGCTGCTGGAGCTGCTGCTGCTGCTGCTGTTAAGGAAGCAGTTGAAGGATGCGCTTTGCTGCTGTGGAAAGGAAACAAATGGAGAGGTACGTG